TGTTCCAAAAAGACTCAATGTTTTGAGTGTGAACTCCAGAATTAGGATCAACAAAATAAAGGGACCTGGTCTAATATCTGCCCTAAAAGGGCAAATATTAGACCAGGTCCGATTTTTTTAGATTAAAGACATTCACATGATTTTTTTCAGTTTTATTTGAGAAAAAACGATAGATAAGAGTAAAACTATGTCTATTGAAATCCTTATATTTATATATATTTGATGAAAATTACTTGAAGAAAACTTAGAAATTCCATCCTTAAAGGTATTAAAATGCCTAGCCCCAGTAAATCTATTTAAATATTCAATATCACATGTAACGACAACTTTTTCTCTGTTTAGCTTTCTAGTTAGTAAAAAGTTACTTCTATTAGTCAAATTAAACTCAGTAATATCAAATTGGGCTGAATCTAAAATGCTAGTAAAGGGCATGTACTTTGACTTCCAACTATAAATGAAAATTTAAATACTATCAAAAGACACAACTCTTGTCATTGCGTCTAAACCAAAGTGATTACCCTACAAAAAATTCTGACTTGCCCTTTCATAAAGCTGATTAGTAGAAACAAAAGGATTTTAAGCCAGTTTTGCAAGAATGAAATTTTTGACTTGTGTTTAAAGAGCACAGTATAGATCTGTGAAATTTACATGAGTACCACCTGACTTTTCAAGATTCTCATTAGATGTTATTGCCCGTGCTTTACGATGGTTATTAAAACACTTCCAAGACATTCTTTCATCATTTCCATTTCCTCTATGTCTATAGACGATGTCATCTATAGCTGGAACTTGATTTCCTTTTTGACCATAAGTCCAAAAAAGATTGCCCATTTAAAGAAAAAATTTAAAAAAAATTTTGGGTATTTTGAAAATAAGGCATTTGGGGAAGACACCAAAAATTATATTAGAAATCCTGATGAAATTATAGAAATAGACGAATCAAAAATAGGAAAAAGAAAATACATCAAAGAACATTTATTTGGGCGTACCTGGATATTTGGTTTAGTTAAGGAGGAGATATCAAAAAAAGTTTGGATCAGGTCGGTTATACACCCCGGCGGGGTGTATAACCGACCTGTTTTTTTTTTTTATTTTTTAACCCTTAATGGCAGGAGGAAGAAAGCATCTAAATGGGATTTTAATTGCTGATCATTTCGACCTTATTTCTGTGGCTTTTAAATAGAGAATTTTGCATATTTAACAGTCTTGCCTCCATTGTGAGCAACTTATGAAATTAAAAAGATCAAAAAAAAGTTGATAAATTTGAATGGAGATGTCTTAAGTATCAGACAACACTCAGTTTGGAATATAATACGTGTCTAGCAAATTTTAAAATTGAATAACATGTTATTTTGGTTGTAATTTATTATCTATCTATTGGATTACAAAACTGTAAAATATTGCTTTTAACTACTATATCAAAAATATCCAAAAATTAATTTATAGCAAAATAGAGCAACATTTTTTAGATAATCCTATTAAATAGCCGGCCCTGGTGTCAAAGTACAAGTTGATGAAACAAAGATTAATTATAATGTAAAAAACCATATAGCAGGTCTGTTCCGCCCCGTTAGGTATTCTGCATTGGGGTTTTGCTGCATTGTTTCTGATCGTTCCTCCGATACTTTAATTAATATAATTTCTAATGTAGTAGTACCCGGTAGTATTATTTGCTCAGATGAATGGGCTGCTTATGCATCATTGGGTAGGAATCAAAATTTTGAGCATAGAACTGTTTGCCATAAATATAATTTTATCAATCTGGCAGATGGAACTCATACACAACATGTAGAATCATATAACAATCGATTAAAGTTAGGTATTAAGGCGATAAAGGGTTTTGCGTTGGAGCAGAGAATTTTTTTGCTAGAATTCATGTTTAAAGAACGTCTTTTGTCAGATAAATTTATGTCTTACATCAAATTATTTAAGTGTTAATCTTTTTTTTTACGGGGTGTATAACCTACTTGATCTAAAACCGGGGTGTATAACCGACCTGATCCAATAAAAGGACCTATTGTTTCTTGTAAAGAACGAACTGTACAATCAACAACACGAACAACAAAAAAAATTCTCTTGTTTGTTCAATTAATTCCACCAATAATCCGAACAGTATCCCTAGTATCATCAGCACTCGCGGGATTTCGAGTGGTTCCACGCCCTGAAAGAACATTTTCATCCACTTTGACGACAATTCTTGAGCCTCCTATGATAACTGGATGTGTGCCAGTATACAATTTATAACATTCCACTAGCAAAGCTTAATACTTAGCTATTTTTACATCTGAAAACCCAAGGAAATGATACAACTGAAAATAATTGATGTATAACAACAAACGATAAATAAATTAAGTTACTTTTCTTGAAAAAATTAGAATAAAACAAAGAGTGCCATTTTTGGCATCCTCTTTTAACACATCTATAAATCACTGCGACTATTTTTCCTTTAATAATAACAAGCTTGCTTGAATTTAAATAATGTTGACAATTAATTATATCAGGAATAATTTTATTTGTAATTAAAAAATTTCATCTTTTATTTCTATTTTTATAAGGGCTAATTTTTAAAAAATTTTAAAATACAACCCTAAATATGAGACCCGTGCAAAATCCTCTAGTAATAAACACCAAAATCTGAACAAATTTTATAGATTTTAACAAAAAAAAGGCTATACACTATTCTTTGTAGTATAATATAAAATTTGGTCTATATCAAAGTAGATTTTAGTACAATTTTATGTTGATTTACTTTCAAAAACGTTCTCTTTTTTACTAAAAGTATTAGGTAGTTTGCTTATCTTTAGAATTTTGCCTACATTTCCATTTTTGTAGATTTTGTCTTATGTTGGATTGTGTTTTCCTTTAATTTTTAACCCTCATTTTATGGAAAAAAATGTAGGTAGAATTCTAAAGAAGATTAATTTAAGAATATAAATAATTTATAAATTTGACTATATAAATCTTATTTGATAGATATAGACTTATAAAGTTTTAAATAAAAATGTTATCATAAAGATTTAAAATACAATACTAACCTTCACATTTTGTGTTCAAATTTCGTGATTATGCTTTATATCAAATAGATTAATATTGCGTGTGATAATAACAAAATTTTATTGAAATATTATAAGTAAATATCTTTAAATCTTACGATGCTTATGAATCAACCAATTTAATATTAAGTTTGCTAAGGTATTTTCATTTATATTAGATAATAGTATAAATATAGATTTGGAACTGCTTTTACATTATATAATAATATCTTGTCTATATTTTATTAATCCACAATTTAAGCACATACAATACGCAAACAATTTTGTGTAAATTTAAAATAAAAGTAAACTATATATTGCGAAGTTTAAAATTTTAATAGAGTGTTTGTGTTACAGAGATTGTCATTTAAAAAAGCCTTTTACATATTTAATTATGTCATTATTAATTTTTATAAAGTTACATACAATGATAATTAAAAAAATTACAAGTATAAAATTTATTATGGTATGTAAATACACACATCATCCAATTCTTCTACTATTCCCTTTTCTATTCCAGTTTTAAGTCCCATAAAAAAATCTTCTTCTCTAAAGTTAAATTTTTCGGTTTGTATATTCTTTATTTGGTTAGCAAGTTCTTCTTTTAACATTTTTTTATATCTTTTCATTATATTAGCAATTTTAGAAAGATAATACATTTCTTTATTAATCTCATGTGAATCATCTGTATGGTCCTTGATGTAAAAATCTACAATATTTTTATTAGTACAGTTACAACATAAGAATATTTTATCATCTTCTAAGTATACAAATTTTGATTTTATTAATGATTTTATAGTATTTGATAATGTTTTATATGTTAAACCTGTTTCTAATTCTATTATACTTTCTGTTATACAATCATATTTATTAAATAATGATACTATAAGATATTGTATTAAATTCATTCTATACTCGTTATTTAACATTTCTATTATCACTGTACTGTATTCCCAAGCCCATTTAACTTTCTTATTAGACACACTATTTATGTCATCTCTAAAAATATTTGGAATAATG